TTCTATGAAAACTGAAACTTTTTTTTTTTGCGGCCCACATACACTTAAACCTTATTCATTTGGCCGTGTTAGCCTTTGAGTTTGACATGCTTGGTCTACACTGATAGCCAAGCGCTGGGACTTCTCCTCCACTCCCTGAAGGTCTCTGGAGCAGTAAAACTCTGCACAAGGGACAATTAGCACTGCAACCTTTGTTTCTCTTATTTCAAGTGCCCTGGGTATGCCTCCAGGCCTTGAGCATGCACTCTTTGCAAGCCTAGGAAGAAGCAACAATAGATTAGCTGATACAGGCCAGATAAGGCGCAGTGGCAGAACCTGAGTAGCCAATAATATAATTATTCCCCAGTGTTTTTCTCAGGAATGCCTAGGCCTCTCCACATTATATAGTGAATTTCCTTGTCAGGAATGTTGTAAAAGCTTTATGATAGACCTTTGTCACGCACAACAGGCAAATCCTTCCTGTTCAGCTAAGGTCAGAGGCCAGCCCTCACTTATACCTTTTTTCTTCTTAATAAAAATAATCACATCACTCATAGTCTCTTGACCCCCTTGCTGGCTCAGGAAAGCAATTTTAAGAAATCTAAAGACCAAAAAGACATTCTCAGTTAGAAAACTGCAATTGGGTTCAACACATCTGACTACTACAGTATAGTTTTCTCTATTATTTCATTTTCCCCTTCCCCATTCCTTTATTGTACACAAAGTAACTGATGTATGTGCACAAGCATTTGCATTTTTTAATAACTAAATGGCCAATGTTGTGTTTTGATCTATATCAAATGGAGATGGGATGGGGAAAAAAATGCTGGTTCTGTGAAAACATCCCCTTTCTCCATTAGTGGGATGCTTATTCAGCTCTTATCTTTATATTCCAGTAAGTTATTTTGCTCTGTTTAACAAAATAAGAACTACATAGAAATTCTTGCATACTTTGTTTGGAGAATTTTAATGTTTTTCATTTGTCATTGTACAACCAAGGACAATTTTATAACTTTTTTGTACGTAGCTGTTACATGTAGGGCAATCTGTCTTTAAGTAGGGATAAATTACTCTAAAAAGGTGAATCCTAGATAGTTTTCCCTTCAAGTCAACTGTCTTATTGTTTAAATAAACTTGTTTAAAACAAAACACACCTTGGAGAATAAAAGGACATTTCTCTGGTCTGCCACCTGCTGGTGAATTCTAGCAATGCCATGGGTACATTGAATTTAGTGCCTGACCCTATCTCACTACCTAAGCTCCCTTCACGTACCTTTTTTTGGTCTGAGTTTCATAATTTCTTTTCCATTCTGTAATCCCTTTTCTATTTTTGTCTTGCAAATACTTTATTATATACTTTTTTTTGTTAATTAATATGTGTCAGGTCCTAGCTATTTTCAAATGTTTATAATTCTTACCAATTTGTATCTCTTCCCAAGACCTCTGCCTGATCAGTCTCAGGAACAGACAGTCACAGTGGATCAGGTGCTCTTTCAGAACCAGTCAAAATCTCTGAGGAAGTGACTCTTGGTTAAGGCACCAAATCCTGGTGAGACTGGGTGAAACACCCGCAGCAGTCAATTCACTTGGTCATGTGAGTGGGAGCTCAGGGCTGTGTGGAGGACGGATTTGAAGAGAACAAGACTGCAGCAGGAGGGATAGTTAGGAGGCTACTGTAATAGTGATCTGGACAAGTCTGAGGGCTTGAACCGGGGAGTCTTAATAGGGCAGGAGCAGAATAGACGGAGAGGGGCTTTCTGCTGGAGTAAGAGTCAGATTCCTGGTTTCCCACTTGGGTGACTGGGTGATCTGCAGTGTCATCAAGTTAGGCAGCAAATACAGGCACACATCTAAGCAGGTTAAGGGGAAACCCAGGTTTGTTTGTTTTTTTAATATATTTTATTGATTTTTTACAGAGAAGGATAGAAAATTAGAAACATCGATGAGAGAGAAACATCCATCAGCTGCCTCTTGCACACTTCCTACTGGGGATGTGCCTGCAACCAAGGTACATGCCCTTAACCGGAATCGAACCTGGGACCCTTCAGTCTGCAGGCTGACGCTCTATCCACTGAGCCAAACTGGTTAGGGTGGAAACCCAGGCTTTGAATAAAGTGTGGGATAGCTTTAGAATGTCTATGCAAAAAAAAATATACAGCAGGCAGTGGAAAATAAAGGTTAGAGAATGGAGTGTCATCAATATTTGGGTGCAGGTGAAATAAGGAGAATGGATGAGATGGTTCTGGGAGCATAGGCAGAATAAGGAAACAGTGAGTTAGAGCTAGAAATGGGCACACTAGCATTTACAGGCCCTAAAAGAGGCATTAGTTCTGGAAGCATATGCAGAATAAAGACAAGACTGAGTTGGAGACAGAAGTGGGCACCCTAGCATTTGCAGGACAGGCCCTAAAAGAGGCATTCCTGATGGAAGCCATAAAGGAAAAGTCAGAAAGAAAATCCCAGGAGAGTGCTGGGAAAGAACAAGTTTCCAGAAGGTGGGAGTGATGGATAAACTGAATGGATCAGTAATACGAGGGCTAAAACTGTATTACTTAATTTGGCAATTGGAAAGTCACCGGTAACCTGAGAAAAACTTGCATGGAGTAGCAGCTAGGAAGGTGGACTGCAGCAGGTTGAGCAGTGCCTATGAGTTGATGAAACCGAGGGTAGCTTCTTTAAAGAAGTTGGTGTGAGAAAGGATGCTTGGGGTGGAATAATAATTAGTAGCGGCTGTATCATGCAAGGACCAAGGGATGAAATGAAACCATCTAAGTAAGGTGCTCAGCACAGTATGTAGGATATAGTAAGTGTCCAAGAAATGTGAATTGTTACCATTCACTTGTTGACCATATAATAATTTCAGACCTTATTATGCACCAGGCTCTGCTCTGGGCCCGTAGATTTAGTAAATAAACAAGAGACAAAAACTTTGCCCAAGGAAGCTGACATTCTAGCGAGGAGATAGACAAGAAACAAAATAACTCAAAATGTATGGTATACTTGTTAGTGATAAATGGAAAGGAGAAAAAAAGAAATTGAGGAAAGGAGATATAAAATGCTGAAGGAGAGAACAAAATTTTAGATTGGGTGGCCTGGGAGGGCTTCACTGAGGTGGCTTTTTCTTTTTTTTAATATATTTTTATTGATTTCAGAGAGGAAGCTAGAAACATCAATGATGAGAGAGAATCACTGATCGGCTGCCTCCTGCACTACCCCTACTGGGGACTGAAGCCCGCAACCCAGGCATATGCCCCTGACCGGAATTGAACCTGAGATCCTTCAGTCCGCAGGCCAACACTCTATCCACTGAGCCACACCGGCTAGGGCTGAGGTGACTTTTAAGTAAAGACCCAAAGAAGTGAGAAAGGTACCTATAACTAGAAGTAGGGAATAACACTAATTATTATTATTGTTATTAGCATTTTTAATACAGTAAGACTGTTATTATATCATCACTACCATCTTTGTCACAATTGACATCATCATCCCTGCCATCTCTGAAACTCCTAGGACCAAACGTGTAACCAGATATTCCCTCTTTGCAGCTGGGTGGTGAGCTAGTACAAGGGGGTACATTAGAAGCAAAGCCACAGACGTCAACTGGTCTCACATGTAGTCACTGCAAATAAAAAGCTGCTTCACAGCCCTAGCCGGTTTGGCTCAGTGGATAGAGCGTCGGCCTGCGGACTGAAAGGTCCCAGGTTTGATTCTGGTCAAGGGCATGTACCTGGGTTGCGGGCACATCCCCAGTAGTAGGTGTGCAGGAGGCAGCTGATGGATGCTTCTCTCTCATCGATGTTTCTAACTCTCTATCCCTCTCCCTTCCTCTCTGTAAAAAAAGAAAAAAGAAAAAAAAAAGAAAAGCTGCTTCACCTGTGTGCTGAAGAGATGAGATGGCCAGCACCAGACTGATCTCCCATCCGGCCTGCACATTAACGGGCCATCTTCAGACCCAAAGGGAAGACACACAGACGTCTCTGAAGCCACAGGAAATGTAACTGCAGCTTGAATCAGTGCAGTATGTAATATAGAGGTCACAAGACAAGATTATATAAGTATGTTTATCTGATTGTTGGGTAGAGGACTCAGTCAGTTCCATCTGGGAATAATAAAGAAGAACTGGAATTTCTGACTGTTCACCCAGCCCAGTACACTGCTGAGAATAGCTAGATGTGTGACAAGCTTTCATGGGACTACACTAAACAAGGAGATCAGGTCTTGCTTGTGATGGATGCATTTGATCTGTCAACAGATTGACTTAGACCAGCCGTGGGCAAACTATGGCCCGCGGGCCGGATCCGGCCCGTTTGAAATGAATAAAACTAAAAAAAAAAAAAGACCGTACCCTTTTATGTAATGATGTTTACTTTGAATTTGTATTAGTTCACACAAACACTCCATCCATGCTTTTGTTCCGGCCCTCCAGTCCAGTTTAAGAACCCATTGCGGCCCTCGAGTCAAAAAATTTGCCCACCCCTGACTTAGACTAATTACTATCCTCTAAAATTCAGAGAAAATGATACAAAAAATAAATAAATAAAAGGAAGAGAATCCAAATGCCTGAGCACTCATCCTATTTTCAACATGTTTAAATTGCTACAAATTTCTTAAAAGGTACAAGTAGTATTCATTCCTTCACAACCACAGGCCTCAATGGCAGATGGCATGCAACAGGAAATGTGACTTGCAGGCTTTAACAACAAACCCCTTTCCTCAACTGAGGTAATAGAAAAGTTTTGAAATTATCCTAGGTTCATTTTTTAGGTGTATTGATTACCTAAAGAGAGTCAATACACAACTTGTCTAATAAAAAAAAAATAACCTCAAGACCATAACATAGCTTAACTAGCAGTGCTTAGAATACAGAAACATTTTCATAAATTCCTTGAAAATGTCTGTGTAAATAAAATAGATTATAAGCAATTCTCTCCGGCTACAAAATCAAATTAAACCATGTAACAACTAAGAAAATGCCTATGAAAGAAAGTAAACAGGACAATTATTTATGGCTCACATGAACAGTAATTTGCTATATTTTTAATATTATTACTGCCTTATCATATGCTTACTATAAAACATTTCATATATATGTACAAATATATATAAATATATAAAAGCATGTATGCTATATTATATTCCTGCATGTTACATGCTTTCTAAGGAGTCCAGACATTGACCTCACAAACATCATCTAAATCCATTTTAAGGCCACAAAACGAAATGCAGGTAAGAAGAGATTTTTAGTGTGTCCATCCCTCCATATAGGAAGCCAGCGTCCACATCCTCTGGGACTCTCAGCTGCGGTGCAGAGTGCAGGGGAGGGAGGGAAGAGGACAGCAACTATCCTCAGATTTCACTGAACCTGGTAATGACTTAAGCAGCAGGATTTAAGTTACCATGAGTTTTACTGCCTTTTAGAAACAGCCTCATGCCGTCATGCTGTGGCCAAAGCACTGAAGGATGTCTGTGTTCCGTGTGAGCTGTTGAGCCAGGGTGCCCGTGACGTCTGGGGAGTCCCTCAGCCCAGACCGTAGAAGAAACTCGATGCAGGCCAGATGCTGACCCGCGCAGGCCAGGTGTAGGGCTAGGCAGAGAGAGAAGTCACACTAACTTAGTGCATGATCCTCAAAGCAATACAGTAGGCTGCTCCTAATGAAAATATTGATTCTTTTAATTGTACAGATTTTATATTTCCACAATCCATCTGTGTGACTTTACCCATACTAGCTTAAAACATTTTTTCTTCTAACACATTGTTTGCGGGTAGTTTTTATCACGCGCTAACAGGTGGCACGGGCCATTTTTGCTAATTTTTTTGCGCAAATGGCAACGTTCAGTAAAATTACGATAACTTTAGTTTATGTATTTATACGTTACCTGAATTCTACCGCTAGTCTATAATAAACGTATTAATACGTGTCCCACGCTCTACTACACTGGTAGAACGTATAAATACGTTTCCCACATACAATGTGTTAAGCTGATTGGGATAGAAAGACTTAAAAATAACAAGACCAACTGGAGAGGATTTAAGAGATTTGACTAAAGCAACAAAGCAAGTTTATGAGAAATAGGAGACTTTAACTGGTACAGAAAAATTTTTCAAAGTTTTGTGAACTCTCTGGGTAAAAGTATCACCATGAATGAGAATGATATGACAAAAACAAATAGAGCTGACAGATCTTCCTGTTCTGGCTAGAAATTAGCGCTGAAAAAACCCTGGCTCCTGCTCTGGTCTTTAGAAGAAAGTCTGTGTCCCTGGACTTGGGGACCATCCTCTGTGGCCTCATAGTTATCTATGAGTCTTTGAAGCATCATGAAGCCTCCACTAAACTCCTGAAGGATGGCCACTGACACAGAGAATATTACTGAATTTATTTGGAAGTACGAGTTTAAAGAATTAGCTCTGAAAATATCCTTCTGAGCTCTAAATTGAGAAAACTGTAATGATTGTAGTTTTTAAATACACTTAAAAGAGAGATGACCTATGAAGCATCTATAAACTACCTGAATAGTTGGTGGCATCAAGACAATATAAAGTGTTTTTATGTCACATATACTGTTGTATTTAAAATGATAAAAACATAATAATAACAGCAGTAATAATGAGTAGTAGTCATCATCATTGCCATGGGAACAGCAACAGTTCTATTTGGAGATGTAATTTTTTTTTTTTTAGATGTAATTTTAAGGAAAAGTTGCTGAGCTAGTAGAGGAATAACATTAAAACCAATGTTTTTAAAAGTCCATGTAGCCCTGGTCAGTTTGGCTCAGTGGATAGTGTGTCAGCCCGAGGACTGAAGGGCCTCAGGTTCAGTTCTGGTCAAGGGCATGTACCTCGATTGCAGGCTTCATCCTGGCCAGGGTCAGGGCAGGCAACCAATCGATTTCTCTATCTCTCCCCCTTTCTTCCACTCTCTCTGAAAATCAATGAAAAAAATACCCTCGGGTGAGGATTAACAACAATAAAAAAGTGCATGTACTGTTTATATTCCACTGAATAATAAGTTCCAAGGCACAAAGAAACTGTACCTGATCGATTTCTTTCATCTTTAGAGTTGATGTCAGCACCCAAGGAAATGAGCATCTGAACGGTACTCACATGTCCTTCCTGAGGAGTGAAATAAACTCATTATCACTGTGACAAGCACCTTTAAACATAAACACGAATCTATATATTAGGTCATTTTTCTAAAATACTCAACTGCTAAAACTATATTTTCGTATCTAAAGGAAAAATCATCACATCACTCTCAAACTCCACTATAAATCATTAAAGATAGATTTTGGTGATATTCAGTTTTTAGAAAATAGATGGTCAACTTTGGAGGCCAAATTACCAACTAATACAGTTGGGTTTCCTTCAGTGTAATGAGCGTATAGAACACACAATTCCAGATTCTTCCAAGTACACACACTCTTTGCTAAAATCTTTAGGGCAGAGATAAATTAGAAAAGATGGTCACCTCTCCTGATGGGAACTCTCATCATAGCTGGCATTATCATTCATGAGGCAATTTATATACTTTCTATCTAGCCAGTTAGTTCATTAGTATGTGGTGAGACTAAAGTCAAGGTTGTAGGTTCAATTTTCCTATGGGTGGACCCACTAATGCCCCCCTCCCCCTGTGGCCACAGGTCATTCCCTTAGCACACGGCCATTTATCTAACCACTTTCTCATAGGGGAATGCAGGCAAGAGTGTGTAGGTCAGGGTGAGGGGACGGACTAGAGGGGGGCAATGGGGGAACATAGGGGACATATGTAATACTGTCAACAATTAAGATTTATTTTTTAAAAATTGCTAAAAAAATAAGAGTGTGTAAGTCATCAGAAAACAGTCCTGTTGCTAGAAAAACAAGTAAAGGCAAGTAGCCAATCATGTTAAAGATAATAAGCAAATACTCCTAGTATTTAAAACAGGAGGAAAACTTTTTAAAATAAGATTTTTATTAAGTGAGAATTCTTCTTTTTTAAAAGTATTTTTAAAACTGATTTTTTTAGAGAGAGAAGAAGGGAGAGGGATAGAGAGATGGAAACATTGATGAGAGAGAAACATCGATTGGCTGCCTCCTGCACCCTCCCCCTGGGGATCGAGCCTGCAACCCGGGCATGTGCCCTAGCCGGGAATTAAACCAGGGATCTCTTGGTTCATGGATCGATGCTCAACCACTGAACAACACAAGCCGGGCTGTAGTGAAAAATTTTTGCACATCTTAAAATATCTTATACATTAGAGAGGCTGGTAAATGCAATTCCCTTCCCTCAATTAATAAATTTTAACTTCTGAAATCTACCATTAGGAGAGAAGGCTAGGAATTTAATATAATGGATTTTTACGACTTCAAAAACATTCTTGAAGACGAAAAAAGGGCAGGATGAAACATAAAATCCAGGCATTGAATGGAATAAAGGGTGTTTTCAGTTTTTGCCTAGCAACAAATAAAGGTAGGTTTCTATTTAAAGGGATGCAGGGCTTCCCTTTAACATTTTAGGAGCATATCATGAGCAATTTTTTTCTTCCAGAGATGGAGCCAAAGCAATAGGGCAGTGGAGCTATTTCTCAGTAAAGTAAGGCAAGCCTAAGGAAGCAGGGACAACTTTATAAAAAGAAACAAACCTTAGCTGCATAATGAAGTGCTGTAAGGTGGGTTGATGTTGCTTTCACGTCTACATCAATGCCAAGTTCAGATACCAAGAATCGGATGGCTTCATTCTGCCCAGTGACTGCTGCCCTGTGTATAGCCTGGGCTCCCAGGAAATCCTCAGCACAAATGCAAGCCTAGTAGGTTCGGGAGAGACAGGAACAAAAATAAGCAGCAGAGAAAGCTGGGTCCATGGACCTTCTGACATTTTAGCTAAAATTTGTTGCCTATGTACATTTTTCTGGGCCTATGTTATATAGCTTTTGTCAGATTATTTATTTTTATGATGATTATTATTTTAATCTTTATTGTTGAGCTTTTGTCAGATTCTTAAAGGACTATATAAACAAACAAACAAAAAGGTTAAGATTCAATGCTCTAAAGCAGTGGTTCTCAACCTTCTGGCCCTTAAAATACAGTTCCTCATGTTGTAACCCAACCATAAAATTATTTTCGTTGCTACTTCATAACTTTAATGTTGCTACTGTTATGAATCGTAATGTAAATATCTGATATGCAGGATGGTCTTAGGCGACCCCTGTGAAAGGGTCGTTCGACTGCTAAAGGGTTCGCGACCCACAGGTTGAGAACCGCTGCTCTAACGTGTGCACTCAGTGGGGTTTGTTGTTATTACTATAAAACAGCTACTGTTACTTTGCTGCCATGGAGGGGTAGCTCGGTTGGTTAGAGCATCATCCTGATATGCCTAGGTTGTGGGTTTGATCCCCAGGGCACATACAAGAATCAACCAATTTATATAACAAAAGTCTAAGCAACCGTTATAGCAGAATGACTAGAACGACTGGTCGCTATGATGCACACTGACCACCAGGGGGCAGACACTCAATGCAGGAGCTGCCTCCTGGTGGTCAGTGCGCTCCCACAGGGGGAGTGCCGCTCAGCCAGAAGCCAGGCTCACAGCTGGCAAGCACAGTGGCAGTGGCGGGAGCCTCTCCCACCTCTGCGGCAGCAGTAAGGAGCAGTGAGCAGGCAGGGGGGTAAGAAGTGAGGGGTTCTGGACTGTGAGAGGGATGTCCGACTGCTGGCTTAGGCGGACATCCCCAGAGGGTGCAGGCTGGGCTGAGGGATCCCCTACCCCCCAGTGCAAAATTTCGTGCACTGGGCCTCTAGTGAATACATAAATAAGTGGAACAATGTTTCTCTCTCTCTTTCGCTAAAATCAATTTAAAAAAATCTTATTTTGCTAATTATATTTAATCCTTAGAGTAACCCTCTGAAGAATTAAAATTTGTCACCTTTTACAGATGGAAATACTGATGCTTAAAGAGATTACGGGAGGGACCCATGACAGTGCTGGAATTTGAACCCAGGATCTGAATAACCATGATCTCTTTGTATCCTATGACTAAAACTCATAGAAAATACCAAATCATTGCTGTACCTTATGTTTTTTGAGGAGCAGCTTGGCTATGTTGATGTGCCCACATTGAATTGCATCCATAAAGGGTGTGAGGCCACATTTGTCTTTGCAGTCTGGTTGATATTGACACCTAGAGCCCAAACCCAAAATTACAGAGCTGAGAAGTCACTGCTTCAAACCCAATGGACACTTGACTCTTGACCACTTGCAGATGACATATCCTACAAATGATCCATGAAAATCTGCAGCACTCTCCCTCTTTTCCCCATCTCAATACTAGAACTTAGCTCTTCAACAATATGTCGGTTTCCCCCAGCGAATCTGTTCCTCCTCTAAACTTCTGTCATTCCATATTATGGACTACAATTTCTCCAACTTCTCATGCCAGGAGCCCTGACGTCACCCCTTAGCTCTCAAACCCAATCTATTACCTCTCAATTCTGCATTCAAAATATTTTAATTGTATCTTTCTCTCTTTCGCTGCTTTTACCCCTTAGGACCAAATCAATAGACAATAGCTTCCTGCTTTTCTCACCTTGGCTTCTGCCTTGCTAATTCATTCTCACAGCTACCAAAATAATCTTTTCACCATGCAATTTGGGTATGGCTGCTCCTGTTATAAACCTTTAACTAGTATGTCCCAAAAACAAAGCACAAAATTCGGAACTTCAGCATGACCTCTAGTGGTCAAGATACTGTCCCACAAACTTACCTCTCCAGGTTTCTCTTTCCCACATACCCACTGCTCTGTGCTTACTGTAACCTACCTTCTTTATGGTTATTCTTTCTTCTAGGTCCTGCGTTTTTCCTGGTCCTACCTGCCCTATCATCTTCTTAGTTTCACCTCCCACCTGTCCTATCTTCTTATGTTCCATCTTCTTCATGGTCCAACCTATCCTATCTTCTCAGTCCTACCTTCTTCACCATCCTATCTTACCTGCACCACTGTCTCCTTGGTCCTACCTTCTTCTTGTCCTATCTTCTTCTCCATCACACCTCCCCTTTTTCCATTCCTACCCTCAACTTCCTGTCCTGTCTTCTCAGTCGCACCTCCCACCAGTCTGATCATCTTCTGTTCCTACCTTCTTGATCCTACTTGTCTTACTTTCTTCTCTATCCTACCTTCTTCATGATCCTGCCTTTTTCCTGCTCTTTCATTTGTCCAGCTCTTTGCTGCCTTTGCACTTGCTGATGCCCTCTGCTTAGAAATTACTTCTCCATTATTCACTTGGCAAACTCCAATGCATTCTTCAAATCACAGCTCTGTGACTTTACACTGGCCTGTCTTCTGTCTTGCATCAACAGCACCTTTGCTTCCACATGCCATTGTGTACATTTTTCTTAACATTACAGGTTTCCCCCGCTAGCTGAAAGTAGAGCATTCCTACAAAACTTTTTGTAAGCCAAAATGGCATAAAGCAATGAGTATCTTCACCTTTCTGAAAGTTTGCATTACATGTGCCATTTCACTTTTATGAAAGACCTGCATTGCTACAGTAACAGCTTTTCTTGTAGAAGTGAAAATCCTATTCGGATTCTTTTGATTAGTGAAAAAATGTACTAATGTAGGTCTTATATATAGGCGAAGTAGGATAATACAAACTTTCAGAAAACAGAGATACGTGTATTACAATTTATAATTTTATGGTATTTACTTGAATGCCTATACTTGGCTTCCACACCAGCCTATAGGTTGTTAGGAAAAGGAATGCATTTGTTTTGCTTACCACCCAGCACCTAACAGATAGGAGGTGCTTCCAAAAATGTTTGTACAATGACTGAATATCTATAAATTTGCTGACAATCAAGTATGTTCCAATTTGCAGTAGGCAAGCTCTACACATAAGCGATGCTTTCAGGGCACTGCATTAAGCCCTCCTCTATTCTTACTATGCACTGTCTACTTAGGTAATCGCTTCCACTCTTGAAAATTCAATCAGCAGCCCTAACCGGTTTGGCTCAGTGGATAGAGCGTCGGCCTGCAGACTCAAGAGTCCCAGGTTCGATTCCGGTCAAGGGCATGTACCTTGGTTGCAGGCACATCCCCAGTAGGGGGCGTGCAAGAGGCAGCTGATCGATGTTTCTCTCTCATCGATGTTTCTAACTCTCTATCATTTTCCCCTCCTCTCTGTAAAAAATCAATAAAATATATTAAAAAAAAAATTCAATCATCATCTCTTTGTTGATGAAGCCCACATTTGTATCTCAGCCCATACCTGTTTTTTGGGCTCCATATCTTGTCTCTAACTGCTGCCTTGACATCTTTGCTTGGGTGTCTCACAGGCACATGCACTCACCATGTCCAAAAGTGAACCTCTCATCTTTTCACACAAAACCTGCTCCCCCTCCACTGCTCTTTACCTCAGTAAATGACACCAGCACCAGCTGCTTAAGTGAGAAACCTGAAAGTCATCCTTGACTTTTCCTTCTCTCCCAGTCCTTTTATTGAATCATTTGCCTAGAGATCAGTGGTTCTCAACCTTGGCTGCACATTAGAATCACCTGGGAATCTTTTTAAAATCCTGATTTCTGAGCCTCATCCTCCAGAAATTCTGTTTCTTTGTTACTAATGTTGTGGCCCCACCCCATAACAAAGAAACAGAATTTCCGGAGGATGAGGCCCAGAAATCAGGATTTTAAAAAGATTCCCAGGTGATTCTAATGTGCAGCCAAGGTTGAGAACCACTGGCCTAGTTCTACTGATTCTACTGAAGTATCTCCAAATCTTTTCCTTCATCCCTACTGTTAGCTTCTTAGCCCAGCTACAATTCTTTCCTGTTTAACTACAATAGCCTCCCAATAGCTTTCAAAGCACCCACTCTTGCTCCTCCTCCACTCCATTCGCTATTTTGCAACTAGAGGATCTTTGAAAATGCAAATTTCTTATTCTATTCACCCTGCTTAAATCCCTTCAATGGCATCTTATATGCTTAAAACAAAACCTAAAATCCTTCCCACAGCCTATAATGTCCCACCTGATTGAAACCTGCCCTTCCTCTACTGCCTTACCCCGCACCATTCTCCCCCTCACTATATGCTTCAGCACATACTGAGCTTCTTTAGGTTTCTTTCTTTCTTCTTTAAATTTTATTTTATTGTTCAAAGTATTACAAATAGTAGTACATATGTCTCCATTTTTTTTCCCATTGACCTTCCCCCGGCTTCTTTCAGTTTCTTACATGCACTATGGTTTTCCCAGGATGAGCATCCCTGAGTATTGCTTCCTCTGACTAGAATGCCCCCCTGCCTCCCACTCTCAGCTTCCTTCAGATCATAGTTTAAATAACACTGGGGCTGAGATTCCTCACTCCTAGGCCAAGTTGGGTCTTCTTGTCATATGCTTCTGCAGGGACCCTGCAATTCCTCGTAATGGCCACCAGATTCATACAACTAGTGCAGCGTCTGTGAGTTCCCTAAGAGGGAAAACACATTGTCTCATTTCTATTGTAACCCCTGCATCTGGTACAATTCAAATAGGCACTGAATAAATAGATGAATGCTTGTTGAATGAACAAATAAATGACTTTCTCTCAAATTTTTTAGCTATTTTTGTTTTATGTTCTTTAAATTATCTGCTTGTCCTTTGTTCTTTTCTCTCTTGGTACTTTAGCTGCTCTTGAACAATTTGCTTGAGCTCTACAAGTAGCATCGACATTAACTGTCATAATTAGCAAATATCTTCCTTAATCTGCTGTTTTGTTCTTACCTCTGAAGAAGCACCTTTACTGCCTCTAAACAGCCATGCATTGCTGGGAGAAGAGAGTTGAGAATTAGAGTTTTTAGGTGCACATATAAAATGCTTCTTTCCTCCTGGCACTGGTCTCTGTCCCATCTTTTTAGCTATGACTTACAGGAAGGGGCAATTAAAGTAAGTATATTAATAAAAATCTAGCTGGATAATTGGTAAAGAATGATGTTTTTACTGAATAGGTCCATAGCCAAAACTGATTATCTTGTCTTTATAAACACTTTTATGGCAAATTTTCAATCCTAAACTTACCTATCTCTTCCCTTTTGAGTTGAGCCAGGCAGCTTTTGCCCAGGAAATATAAAAACATTTTAAGAGTAATCCATGACAAAATAACCAGGAATTTAATTCTACTACTAAAAATAACTATGGTCAATAATAAAGCTTTTTGACTATCTGTGCATCACTACTTTGTGTAAATGACTGGGTACTATTTCTCCAGAAGAGTAGGGGACCTAGTCAAACAATTTATGAGCAGAGAAACATTTTCTTCACTCTTGCAAAAGGACTCCTTGGTCCTTACATGCCCACTGTGGCTAGAACAATTGTATGCATATTTCCTAAACTATGTCATGTCACAGGTATTGATTTTTAGAGAAATTAAAAACCCTGTATTCTAATTCAATGAATTCTCTAGAAGGCTAAAGATTATTTTCTAGAGTTCTTGATCTGGACTCAAGCTCATTAGTGTCCATTTCATCTTATACCACAGCAGCTTTGCTTTTTACAAATTTAAAATAATCTATAACTAGATAATTCAGAATTAAGACTAATTATTCAAAACAATAAAAATACCCTAAATTTATATTTAACATTATCACTACATAAGTCAAATACACTCAGGTATTTAATTATAAGTACCTATGTTTATTTAAATAGATAGTGCTGTGGTAGATATTGCTGAGGACATTTAAAAACTGTCTCTTGCCCAGCTGGTGTGGCTCAGTAGTTGAGCATCAACCTACGAACCAGGAGGTCACAGTTTGATTCTTGGTCATGGTACATGACCAGGTTGAGGGCTCAATCCCCATTAGAGGGCATGCAGGAGGCAGCTGATCAATGATTCTCTCTCATCACTGATGTTTCTATCTCTCTCTCCCTCTCCCTTCTCAGAAATCAATAAAAATATATATTAAAAACAAATAACAAACAATCAAAAACCCTGTCTCTTTTCCTCCTGTCTTTAATAATAAAAAAAATGTGAAAACGATCATAAAAATAGCAATACCCCGTTCTGAGTTCATGTGTCACACACTGTGCTAAGGAGTTTACCTACATTCGGCTCCTTAAACCCTGTAATAACCTTGCGATATGGGCATCATTGTCATCATTATCTTGCTGTTGAAACTAGCTCAAGAGACTAAGCTCCTTGCCCAAGGTCAAAGACTTAGTGAGGAAAAAACCAGCATACCATCTAGCTAGCTGGGAATACTAAGACTGATATTTATGAAAAGTGAACTAATACAAGAAAGAAGTGCATTGCCGGGAGCCGGTCCATCCTTGCTGTTTCAAGGGACCTGGCATATATGGCATACTGTTCTTAATATGTTTGCTCACCTTCTTGGCACTATGTGTTTTAACCAAGGTCTCTGAGAAAGGTTGTTTCCCCAGGTAGGGATTTTCCCCTGAAGTTAGGGAGGGAATAAAACCTCTTAACTAAGTGCCAGGTGGGTAATTAATCACTTTAACTACGAACAATCATGCTTAAGCTACATAATCTTTACTCCCTGGAATGGAGATAAGAAACACCCTAACCTTTGAAATAGAGATTGATAGGATTGGAATCAACTGGTATAAATACAGATGTAAGAAGACAGAACGAGGAGAGACAGAACCTAGGCACAGAACCTACACAGAACGTTCTCTAGAGACAGAACTTCGCTGGAGAGAACATGGCAAAAGTTCCTGGACAGAAACTGGCCTCAGAACCTAGAGACAGAACTTAGCGAGAGAACATGGCAAAAGGTCCTGGACTGAACCTGACTACAGAAATTGGCAAGAGAACCTGACTAGAACCTGGTAACTGAACCTGGCTGGAGAACCTGGACAGAACCTGGCTGGAGAACCTAGCGAGGGAACTTGGCTACAGAACCTGGCTGGAGAACCTGGAGAACCTGGCTGGAGAACCTAGCAAGACAACATGGATACAGAACCTGGCTGGAGATCCTAAGCAGAACCTCTCTGGAGATCCAGACCAGAACTTGGCTGGAGATCCTGGCTAGGCTGCTGATCAACTGAACACTGTCTCCGTGCCCTTCCTTCTTCGCCGACTCCGTCCACACCTTTGGGGACCCCTGGACCTGCTGGGGTTGGACCCCGGCAGTGCATGTTAAGTACCAAGTGACATTAGCTTTAGAAACTAAGTGTATGCCAAATATCCGAAAGCTGGCCTTATTCACCAATCTCTGTTTTCCAGAACCCTCCAACTGGATGCCATTCTGCAGTGCTGGGGGAGGCAGAGCTCTGGGCCATACCTGCTGTGTGCAGAGGAGTTCTGCTAATTTTGCTCTCTGTCTTCCAGGCATCTGGGCAAATGGTGAGCAAGTACTGGAGGATTGGAGGGTCACCTTCTCGGCTGGCAATATGGAAACTGTTCCAGCCATCTTTGTTCTTCAGAAGTGGATCTGCACCATGTTCTACAAGGTCCTGGATCACCTCGAGATTCTTCCTTGTGCAAGCCATCATCAGAGGAGTCCTAAGGCCAAAGAGGACAAGCTGTCAGATGGAAGGGTAGCTGAGACATTATAAGGGTACAACCAGGTCTTTAAAAAACACACATCCTTGGTAGAGATGGAAAACCTAGAGGACTGAGGGATTTGGGAAGCAGGATAATTTTCAACTACTTTGTTTGCCCTGAGGACCCTGGGTGAAATAAGAGGAAAATGATTGTGATGTAAGCATGCCTACAAAAGGGGGATACCAAAGAGGCAAAGCTGCTTCTGAGATAGTTTCTAGTATGGCACTGAATCGGGACAGAATTAGTCCAAATCATAAAGTTTGTCCTGAAGAATATTGCATAAAAGGTACTCTGCTGAACTTACCTCACTTACTTTAGTCACTTTAGAAACCACTTATCCTATCTTATATAATAAAAGGGTAATATGCAAATTGTTCCCTCAACTGGGAGTTCGACCAGGAGCCCCTCCCTGATCGCCCCGATTGGTGTGGGCCAGCTGGACCCCACCCATGCACAAATTTGTGCACCGGGCCTCTAGTTGATTATATTATGCTGAAAGAGTTTAAAAAGAGCATTTGACACTGTACCTAGCTATAACAAACATACACTGGTGAAGCAAATGAAACAGTGTGATTATAATAAGTCTCTGTGCTCACTTGTGTCCACAACTATAGGAGAGTGAACTACATGATATCTATATCAAGAGAGGTGGCTCTGGTCTTCCTCTCCTGCCACATGAATGATTTGGGGTAAGCCATTTCACTTCCACGAGCTTTTCTTTTTTTTTCGTCTGCAAAATGAAGGAGCTATGATTTCTGAAAAGCAGCAGCAGGTCTTGTTTACCTCCTCATTGCCAGGGTTAGAACCTGTGATTGGCACATTGTGGGAGCTCACTATACTTGGGTGATCTCTAAATCTCATCTATCTTAAAAGATTGCTATATTAGTTAATTACCAACACTATTTTTTTGGGGGGGGGGGTGAGGGGTAAGCTATACTAATAAAAAGGGTAATATGCTAATTAGGGCAGACGGCTTCCGGACGTCCATCTGGACAAAGCACAGTGGCTGCGAGGCCCGGGGCTCACAGCAGCCATGGGCTCAGGCAGCTGCGGGGCCAGGGGCTCAAGGTGTGCCGGGCCAGCACAACCAAGGGTTCGGTGAGCCTGAGGGGGGTGGCGAAGGATTAAAGAAAAGACAAAGAGAATATAGCTGGGGCTCAGTGGATCTCCTGTGCCTGGATGAGGCCACAGAGAAGGATCCAGCCAGCAAGCTGAGGCTTTATTTTACAGTCAGAGAAAAACAAGGTAGTGGTCACCATAGTTACAATGTTCTTGGGAGTTTCACTTGTTTTGGCAGCACTTGCTGCACCTCCCACGGCCCATTAGCTACCTAGGAAGGATCTAGGGGGCACTATAAGGTTACACTTAATTATGCTAAGAGGGCTCTGCCCTCCAAGCTGGGACTTGTTTGTGGCTCTGCCACAGGTCAATCCAAGGCTCAACTCTAGAGCCACTCCCTACATCACAGCAACCGTAGCCCCTGGTGGCTGCGAGGCCCGGGACTCATGGCAGCCATGGGCTCAGGCAGTGAGCCCCGGCAGCTGCGAGGCCCAGGGCGCAGGCCTCACAGCCGTCATGGCTAGCAGTGGCAGCAGCAGCAGGGTGATGGGGGCGGCACGTTCCCCTGATCAGCCTGGTCGCCTCCCACAGAGGGAGGCTAGACTGCGGCTCCCCACAGGGAGCGGGCCTAAGCCGTCAGTAGGACATCCCCAGAGGGCTCCAGTACTGTGAGAGGAGGCAGGCCCGCTGAGGGACCTCCCCGCCACCCCAGTGCACGAATTTTCATGTACTGGGCCTCTAGTGTAGTAACAACAGTGAATGAGAAATTAACAGGAAAACAACCAGATAAATGAAAGCTAGAATTTTCAAGAACCTCATGAAGGGAATGAACCTCGAGCAAGGCAGGATTATTGGAAAAGCAGGTAAGGTATTTCAGAAAGGAAGAGAGAGAGAGAGAGAGAGAATGGGCAAAAATGTCTCACTGTGATTATATACTTCCCAAATACATAATCAAATGAACCTCATCTTTTTAGTGTTTTGTTTTCGGCTGTTTCCTTATCTGAAGTATTGCTTTGAGGAGTATATGAGGTCTATGCCTCTTGGAACTGTCTTTAGGTCATCTTACCAGCAGCACAAGAAAAGCAGTCTTGTGCTTAGTCACAGCCAAAGTGCAACCCTCAAAACACACCCAGGCCTACTTCCCTCCCGGTGGGCAAAATGTACTTACATGGCTGTCTTCTGTGTTTATATATCATATCAGGAATTACTTGTAGGCAAGAACTTCATTATGTTATGGATTTTGCTACATTCATAACCTCTAAGTGAGTACTGAAAACAATGTTGGTCTAACAAAATGCAATTGGTTTGTGTGATGGTAAAGGTATGTTGACTGTGGAGGTGATCATGCAAAGCTACACATGATAAAATCACATACAGAGAGTATCACATACATATAAGTGTAGGTACAATCTGATGAAATGTGAATAAGTTTATTGACTGTAGCAATGTCAATTTCTTAGTTCTGTTACTGTAATGTAACCTGTAAGATGTTAAACTGCTGGGGGAGCCTAGGGGAAGGGCACATGGGACTTCCCTGAACATTTCTTTGTAACCTTCTGTGAACCTATAGCTATTTCAAAATTTAAAACGTTAAATCAATGCCATTGGTGAAGTAATCATTTACCAGATGTCTCCAGAAGAACGTCGTATCCTGGGGCTCATGTTATATGGGGAATTCATTGATGTTATTCTATCTGATCATATTCTGTACTGTTCTCTGCTTTATAAAGGGAAGCAACTGTCTGGACCAAACAGTCGACTCCCAAGGGTTGGAACAATGTGCTCTAACGGGGAAGGTTGAGAAGCTGTGCTGTAGACTCTACAGTGTAGAGTCAGAAAAAGTACATGGGAATATATGATTCTGGGGAAAAGGGGTTAAGGGGTGTCTTTCTGGAACTCCTGCCACCTACCAGTCAGCCTTCTTCAGGCAGTCGACCACGGCTCCTCGGCCCAGCAGGTACCGCACACAGTCCCGGTGACCCATGGAGGCAGCTTCGTGCAGGGGCCGCTTGTAGTCTCGATTGGCAGCCTCGATGTCCATGTCCCAGGCCTCGGCCAGATAGGCCAGGATGTCCCGATGCCCGTGGCGGGCGGCGCAGTGCAGCAGGGTGTCCCCCGCCGGCCCCGGGCAGCAGGCGGCTCCCGCTCCCTGCAGTTCCTCCCGCAGGGCGCACAGTCGACCTTCTTGCACCAGCCTGTAGAGCCGCCTCGCGTCCCGGGACGCCGCCATGGCCACCCGGGCCAGGCGAGGGGCCCGAGTCCCCAGCCCTGCCCTGCGCTATCCCCTCCGGACCGCGAGCCAGGGGCAGAGCCGCGCTTCCCTACGTCGGGTGGTTAGTGTCCCTGCAAAACAACTAGCCTCCCGAACGCGCGCTCTGGGTGCGGGCATAGCCGTGTTCGAAGACTCGCGGCTGCCGACCGCACTGGTTTCATTTTGGGCAAAACATGCGTAGTTGCCGTCGAACCCGCTGGAGTCTGTGCTCACTCCACGCCAGGGCGCCCGGCTCCGAACCGCTGCCAGGGGAGGGGTCAGCGCGGTGCCTGCACTGGTGACGGGCCCCAGTGGCAGCTCAGCGCCCACGAGACACCGGTAAAGGAGCCGTGGTGAGGCCTCCCTCGTCGCGAGCCCCCCGCCACTCCAGCACCCGACCGAAGCCAGCCTCCGCCCGGCCGCTGCCGTCCCTCCCGCCCTGAGAGCTCGGAGGAACTCTGGGAAAGTTTCCTCTGGTCTTTTCACCCTAGCGGAAGTGCGGGAGGGGCGGGGCCCCTAGTCGTGGCCGCGCCCCTTCCGAGCGCGCATTCCGATTGGCCGTGGGGGAAGTCCGTCAGCCCCGGAGGCGGGCTCTTCCCGGGCTGCGGCGGCGCGGAGCTGTCAGAGGAAGTCCAAGGCCTGCTCCGGCCAGCGCTACCCTGTGGACGTCGGGACTGGGAGGCCGGGAGGCCCGGGCCCGGAGGCGACGGCGGTGGCTGGAGCCCCCGTCCGCAGCGCCATAGTGCGTGAGGCCGCGGATGTGGCTGGGAGCTCAGGCGGGGCCCCTCGCTGTGAACACTTAACCTTTCGGGGTCCTGAGCGAGGGTCCGGATCTCGGGGTGGGGGGTGGGGGTGTGCGGGGAGCGTGGGGACCTGGGGTCCGGGCTGTCCACGGTGGGTGAGCTGCAGGGGCGCGGCGGGCTGGCACGCTGGAAGCGGAGGGCGCCCCTACACAGTGTCCGTGAGCCCGGGAAGTGGGGAGCTCGTCGTTTCTCGGTGTTGTGGGAGTCATGGGGGACGTGGCCTCGGCTGCCCGCCGGCAAGCATTCCTTTTCTACTCTGGTTTTTTGACCTTGGGCGAGTCATTTTATTGTGTCCTTTTGCCTCTTTCATTTGTAGCTTCCTTCCCCCTTACTTGAATATTAAGAAAAACTTAGGTGATGTGGGAAGACCTTGAGCTTGTAGAAGATACCTTGATATCTGAGCAAGCAAGGTGCATGGGGTGATGGAAGGGATTTGAGTAGGTGTTGAGTTCTTTCCCCGATCTTACTAGGTCCTAGTCATTTAAACCTCTTGGTTCTCAGTTCCTCTAGATATAAGATGGGAGTTGCTACTGTTTGCCAGACCTAGAAACAATTATGCTTTACATATATATTGCGCTTTATACAAAGCACTTTAATTATGGAATCCGCAAACAACCCTGTAAGGCATCATTCATTAGAGGCGGAGAAACTGAGGCCTAAAGTTAATGATTTTGCCACTTCCTGTAGATAATGAAGTCCCATGGAAGGAAGGATGGTAGCACCTGGTGTGTGTCTCTACTAGTGCCTAGCGCTGTGCTAAAATAAATTAAGGGAGATAAAATGAAAAAAATGAAAAAAAAAAAAGACCTCTGGTATGGCCTATGAAAACAAACCAATTTTACCAGTGAACACACTGAATTTGGTTAATTTCCTGAGCAATTATGGACAGTCATTGGAGACAGAACTAGGTCCAATATCAACTTTGCCGAAGTTTTTGTTCCGTTATGTCTTGCCACTTCAAAAAACAGGAAGGCATGAAAGTGGTTTGCAATGCATTAAGTTTTAAAACATGCCAAGCAACAACATGCTGCTGTTGGAGTCAACACAAGTGGAAGTTTTGCACTTTTTGCTACTAATGCTCCCTCCCATCCTTATTACAAGTCACCTTACCTTCTCTTGCCTTATGCTTCCAGTTTCCCTGATTTTTAAAAAAAACAGAAGTGGAACTCATTCGTTGCAGAATGGGACAAACTCTTTTAAATCCAGATGATTGGTTACTGAACTGGTGTCAAATGCAACTCTGTCTCTTTTGTCCTTCTTATAAACTTATTGTGATCTGTATTCCGCCTTTAGATAACTAGATGATAATGTATGTGAATCTGTCCACAGCTCCTGTGATTTTCTGGGTTAAAAGTTTGGTGTACAGGAAGCTAACTGGGATCTTGCTGATTTTCCAGTTAGGTTGCCCATTTTTTTTTGGTGCATCTTTTGGAGTTTGTGGTCTGGCTTTTACTGTGTCATTTTGCATGTGGTCATGTTGGCATTATGATTTGCTCCTCGCTGTCTGCTTTCCTTTCTCCTGCGTTGTATTTCATGGTTATGTAGCATTCACCAGTGGTCATTGATGTCGTGATCATTTGACATGTTTTGTCATTTGTGAGTGTGTGAACACCAAACGTTGGTATTGGACTTAGAGCTCTAATTTCCTATTTGTTGCCATTATCTTTTCTCTGGTTATTAGATTCCTCTATCCTTCCTGGGCTGATTTTATTTGAAGATTGAATTTGATTCTGTCGTTGCCCTTCTGGCTATGGAGTCATCTACTTCTAAAAGCATCTCACTAAAGCACCTCAAATCTTATCTCAACTGTCAGTCACATGTCTTTTGAGGACCAGTCTCAAATTTCAAAGTGCCTCCTAGAGCTTTACCTGGCATTCCACAGATAACTTTAAAACAAAAGTATTTTCAAAACTGAAAACATTCATCTTCCCCCTCACTCCAGGAAAAAGTGATGAAAAGCACTATTTCTCCTTTACTCCTTAATGTAGTTAATGATATTTGTGCTGGAAATTTCAGTTTTCTTTGTTCTTTTTTTTATCTTTTTCACCCAGTCTTGTTAGAAAAGACTTGTTGATCTTCACTTTCCCTCCCTCCTTCCCTCCCTCCCTCACTCCCTCCCTCCCTTCTTTCCTTCTAGTTAATCATCACCCGAGGATATTTTTTTCATTGATTTTTAGAGAGAGTAGAAGGGAGGGAGGGGGAGAGAGAAACATCAATTGGTTGCTGCCCGCAACCCAGGTATGTGTCCTTGACCAACCAGGGCCTCCTGCTTCCTATTTCTGCCGCTGCTCTCAAGACTTTACCAACTCTTGCTTCAGGTTCTGCCTTGTTTTCTAGACAATCTTCATGACTACCCTACCTCCAGAGTTACTGTTCTAAACATGCAAATTTGATTGTGCATTGACCCTGCTTAAGAGCTAGATAATTCTCTGAATTGCCTATCTGTTAACATTCAATTTCCTTAGTGTTATATGTATTTAAGGACATTTATAATCTGTGCCTCCAAATTTCTTTTTCAGTTCTGTTTCCCATTTGTGAACCTCTTGTTATGATGAAACCTGACTTCCCTTCACACCAGTGCTGTGCCATGTCTCTGTGTTTTTGCACATTTTGTTTGTTTTGCCATACTGAATCCTGTTCATCTTTTGGGGCTGAGCTCTTCATAAAGCCTTTTCAACTTTCCTGTTAGCTTTTCTTTCTGTCATAGCACTTCCTGTGTGCATTGGTGTGGAATTTACATTGCCGTATGTATAGTAATTTATGTTTGTTTTGTAGCTGCCTTATGGGCAGGCTGTCTTACTCATTTTGTATTTTCAGTGTCTAAAATAACATTTGACACCAGATAAGCCAAGAGAGGAAGCACTCGTGTTTATAATGAATTTTAGACATAGTGGATACTTAAAAGTGGTTGTGAAATGAATTGGCAGTAGAAAAAGCTATTCAAATACATAAAAATATGTTCTACTCTGTAAAAAAAATGATCATTTCTTGTTTTTCCTTTTAAAAAGAGATGTTTTTATTGATTTCAGAGGGAGGAAGGGAGAGGGAGAGAGAGAGATAGATACATCAATGATGAGAGAGAATCATTGATATACCCCCACTGGGAATTGAACTGTGACCTCCTGGTTCTTGGGTCAACACTCAACCACTGAGCCACACTGGCTGGGCTTCTTTTTAAAATTATTCCTTCATTTTCTTGTGAGAAACATACATAGAAAAAAAGCTCCCTCCATCCTAGTTTGCAATATTAGGTGAACATGTCTCCAAGAGAGGAGCAGTTGTTTGCAGGTTGTGAGAGGACCTAAGGATGATGGAGCCTGGAGCCTAGACCTTTTGGGTTTGTAGAGAAGTAGGCTGTGATGCTGGGAAGGACCTGGCATTGGATCAAGAGCAAGTACTCGGGAAAAGCTAGCTCTATCATGTTTTCTTTCTGCATTTGTTTCTTTTAGAACTAATGGAACAAAATATTTTAAAGTGTTTCCATTTTGAGTCTACAGTATTTAGTGATTTTTTCCCCATAGTTAACGTTATCCGTTATCCGAATACTTGTTTGTTACTTAATCTTTGGTTATGACATTGCACAATGATTAAACAATAGTGATATAGAAATTAAACCTGATGTTTTTAGAAACTGCTTCAAATATTTCTGAACATGGAAAATGGAAGGGAGAATGTTATAGCATAAAGAACACTGGACTTGGGGAGTCAGAAGACCTACATTCCATCACCTATAAGCGGTTTTGTGACTTTAAGCAAGTCTTCTCTGAACCCCAGTTTAATCATGGCACAATCATAAGATTGTGTGAAGATCAAATGAGAGTATGTGAAAGAACTTTAAAAGCTAAGAAGCATTTAGGAGCTATAAAGTAGTATAGGGTTTCAAAGATAACCTCCACTCCTTCAGAGGAAAGTGCTGTAGCTGTGCACTTCATTTATACGACAGTTATTTATGGAACACTGTGCAAAAGGGGCTGAGTGAGTTCCTTCTTCCCTCCCACCTGACTATGGAGCTTTCAGTCCGGGCTAGAAGACATATCAAGACACACAATCAGTTGTTAATACTGCAGAATAAAGTCTACTCTAGTAATAATAATAATTTATATATGACATATATTAGACACATAGTTATGTGAATAATTACGACAAGTTTCTCAGAGACATATGGGATGGTTTTATTATGGCAGAGTGCTTCCTGGCTGAAATGAATATTTTCTACTCTCCTGGAGTTGAGGAACAACACTGTTAACTGTGTTTAAATTGGGCTCTTAGATCTCACAGGTGGCATCCTGACCTGTGAAGTCCCTGAACCCTTGTAATAATGAGCTACATTGCAGTGCACTTCTGATGTCTCCACAGGAAACATAAGAGGGAAAGTGTCTACTTCAGTGGTTCCCAATGTGGGGCACACGCCCCACAGGGGGACAATTTGATTTTTAAGGGGGGCAATCGAGAATGAGTTATTAACAGTGAATTTTTTGCATTTTTTATGGTTCTAGGGGCCTCATATACAATATATAAATATATATTGTGACTTATTTATGCATTTCAGTTCTCTTATATGTTTTGAAACTTTATTTGCTATTTTTTCATATCATTTCATATTATTTTTTAAACAATTTCGTAGTAATTTCTTCCACAGTACTTCAACTGTCCTTTCGTTCTTTTATTTTTCTCTTTCATAGATGCCATATTCTTTGGAAGCTTGTTTAGACCAAGTTAATGACCTTTTAGGCTTCCTCCACGTGAATAGGAGTTCACTTTTTGAGTAATAAGAGTTATATGTCACAGGGGGCGGGGTGGTCATCAGGATTTTAGAGATGCTTAGGTGGGACATAGCCAAACAAAGGTTGAGAACCACTGGTCTACTTGTTGATCTTCACAGAGTCCCTCAGGGAAAACTGGGAGGCTTGTAGGGAACTAATAAGATGAGGTTAGGAAC